ATATAAAAATGTATAAGCAATTAAAATAAAGGGTAAAAATAATATTGTGTTCCTAATTAGCTATCAACAGAGGTTTTCTGAATACCCATCATAATTCCGGGATTCATCACATAACTCCTTTAATACACTTTATCTTCAAGTAGGTTTTATAAGTAAGTTACTCTAATTATGTTCAATTTATTAATGGACAATCTAGCAATTACACCTTACAATATAAATTTCTTATTACAAAACCAAGCGTCATGTAACGGGAACTTTAATATAAATTCCTTTCAAGAAAGCTTAATTTACGAAATATCTTAACGTCGATTTATCACTTATAAAATAAAACGCTTCTTGGGGCTGTGTTGTTTTTTTTTTTTTCGATTAAGTCAAATTTAATGAAGTGTTATGAAAGTAGTTTCAATTTTTTATACATACTGATAGGAAAATCCTTTGCTACAAAAAAAAATAATTATTTTTGCATAGTATTTTTCGGAATATTTTGAATATAGTTAAAAATATGTCTTTAATGCACTTGAATACTACTGTATGTCAGATATTGGCTACAAATTTGTTATAGATTTGAAACATTAAAGCCTAACCCTAATAATCCATCCCTTAACAAGAAGTAAACCAGGTAAAGTAATAATGATGGATATGAACATTACGTAAACATTCTCTACATTACATATTTACATATGGTCTAAAATATTTTACTAATAAACTGATATTCATTGCTTTCAGGGTGGTAATTTACCAAGTTTAAACCTAACAAATCCTAAGGTCTTTGAGTGTCTTCAACATTAGGTAATCCAAGCACCAAGTTAGAGTTGACCAGGTGGTAGAGATGGCACTTAGTGTAGCCACAAACATGGTGCGATGTTGTCCAGGCTCATTTGACGGAACGTTTATCACAACATAAACTTTGTGAGGTTGTGTTTAGTTCTAAGGTCTTATTTAGCGCCTTCAACATTAAGTAATCCAAGCACCAAGTTAGAGCTGACCAGGTGGTAGAGATGGCACTTAGTGTAGCCACAAACAAGGTGCGATGTTGTCCAGGCTCATTTGACGGAACGTTTATCACAACATAAACTTTGTGAGGTTGTGTTTAGTTCTAAGGTCTTATTTAGCGCCTTCAACATTAAGTAATCCAAGCACCAAGTTAGAGCTGACCAGGTGGTAGAGATGGCACTTAGTGTAGCCACAAACAAGGTGCAATGTTGTCCAGGCTCATTTGACGGAACGTTTATCACAACATAAACTTTGTGAGGTTGTGTTTAGTTCTAAGGTCTTATTTAGCGTCTTCAACATGAAGTAATCCAAGCACCAAGTTAGAGCTGACCAGGTGGTAGATATGGCACTTAGTGTAGCCACAAACAAGGTGCAATGTTGTCCAGGCTCATTTGACGGAACGTTTATCACAACATAAACTTTGTGAGGTTGTGTTTAGTTCTAAGGTCTTATTTAGCGTCTTCAACATGAAGTAATCCAAGCACCAAGTTAGAGCTGACCAGGTGGTAGAGATGGCACTTAGTGTAGCCACAAACAAGGTGCAATGTTGTCCAGGCTCATTTGACGGAACGTTTATCACAACATAAACTTTGTGAGGTTGTGTTTAGTTCTAAGGTCTTATTTAGCGTCTTCAACATGAAGTAATCCAAGCAAAAAGTTAGAGCTGACCAGGTGGTAGAGATGGCACTTAGTGTAGCCACAAACAAGGTGCAATGTTGTCCAGGCTCATTTGACGGAACGTTTATCACAACATAAACTTTGTGAGGTTGTGTTTAGTTCTAAGGCCTTATTTAGCGCCTTCAACATTAAGTAATCCAAGCACCAAGTTAGAGCTGACCAGGTGGTAGAGATGGCACTTAGTGTAGCCACAAACAAGGTGCAATGTTGTCCAGGCTCATTTGACGGAACGTTTATCACAACATAAACTTTGTGAGGTTGTGTTTAGTTCTAAGGCCTTATTTAGCGCCTTCAACATTAAGTAATCCAAGCACCAAGTTAGAGCTGACCAGGTGGTAGAGATGGCACTTAGTGTCGCCACAAACAAGGTGCAATGTTGTCCAGGCTCATTTGACGGAACGTTTATCACAACATAAACTTTGTGAGGTTGTGTTTAGTTCTAAGGTCTTATTTAGCGTCTTCAACATGAAGTAATCCAAGCACCAAGTTAGAGCTGACCAGGTGGTAGAGATGGTACTTAGTGTAGCCACAAACAAGGTGCAATGTTGTCCAGGCTCATTTGACGGAACGTTTATCACAACATAAACTTTGTGAGGTTGTGTTTAGTTCTAAGGTCTTATTTAGCGCCTTCAACATTAAGTAATCCAAGCACCAAGTTAGAGCTGACCAGGTGGTAGAGATGGCACTTAGTGTAGCCACAAACAAGGTGCAATGTTGTCCAGGCTCATTTGACGGAACGTTTATCACAACATAAACTTTGTGAGGTTGTGTTTAGTTCTAAGGTCTTATTTAGCGTCTTCAACATGAAGTAATCCAAGCACCAAGTTAGAGCTGACCAGGTGGTAGAGATGGTACTTAGTGCAGCCACAAACAAGGTGCAATGTTGTCCAGGGTCATTGGACGGAACGTTTATCACAACATAAACTTTGTGAGGTTGTGTTTCCGTTGATTGAGCAAATAATTCCAGAAGATAACAAATATACTTACTTTTAATTTAATTACTAAGTATATTAATAGCATACGGTTTTGGTGTTGTTGAAACATCCAAAATATTGGAATGGATTGCATGTTGTTGAAAAATAAAACCAAATAATTCAAAGTCGTAATTTAAAATGATTATTATAGTAATAAGTCTCCCTTCATGATGTTAACTTTACTTTAAACTCATCTGGCTATTCATGATGTCTTATTCCATTAGAGTAAAAATGTATGTCAGAATTGAAGTACCTAATATAAACATGTACTCTAAGCGAGTAATATATTCACATGTTCCAGCAGTGTGTGGCATCTTCTAAAACCAATTCAACAGTTCTTAGAATCAATGAAAAACAAAAACATAAAAGTATAATGTCAAATATGCCTTCCTAAACACTACACAGGGGCTTCTGTATGTATAATCTAATTTCAGTATGTATCGAAAATGTATACCAATTATAGACTCTTGCTCGTTTTAGCTTTTAAATAATTATAAACAACATTCATAATCTTGTCAAGCTATTTTACCCTTTTGAAAACTTAAAAATGTGTTATTCAAACCCGTTAAACTACTCCATATCATATCAGGCTTTAAATTGCTGCATGTATCATATCTCTGATATGTTTGCCTAATGGAAAATCCATCTTTGGTATATACAGTTAATTTATCGACTGACACAACACAAGGTGTCTGTATTGTGTTGACTTGTCATTGTTCAATGGGAGTGAACTGTTCTGTTGTTCCATTGTTGTATTGTTCTGTTGACTGATGTGTTACGTACTATTTGGAAATTAAGTCAATATTTTGTGAAATATAAAAGTTAAAGGTTTAGACCAATTTCTACGCTTCTTTTAGCTGTCTATCATCCACGAAACGGATCCAATTGATCCAAATTTCTAAGTAAGTAAAGGTAAGGTTCTTGTTAAATCTATAGATTAATTAGTTCAACATTTTTTATGTGGTTTAAAAAGATTATAAACCTAAGCTTGACTCGGAAATAATTTTTTAAATCCGTAATAGTCAAGAGTATCCATGACCTAAGACTTTGACCAATGAATATTTCGGAGTGATTCTGCCATGCTTGCGTTAGACTTTAAAGTCAAACTAAGATTTATAAAACTCTGTTTAAAGGTGATTCTATGGTAAAATATTTTCATGAGAAACTGATACAACAAATACACACAGTTAAAATTCACATTATTATTTTCGAAAGGATATCCCCCGCACGTTAAACATTAAAATAAGTAAAAATATTGTGTATAATGATACATAAATTTTATCTTACTAGCAAGTCATGCAACCCTCAGACTTAAGTACAGTTAATGCAAGCTGAAGCAAAAACTCCATGTACTATTACGCTACATAACTATCATAACATTACCAGTTTAGTTATCAAACTATTGCTACAGTTTATGATCTGAACTTAGCCTTAGTCAGCACCGGTTGTTGGGAATTACCATGAGTTGAAACATATTATAGACATTGCTGCTCTTTGTCTTGATTTTAAATCATGTTTGGTAATCGTAATCGGAAAGCTAAATAATTTTGTTTTAACTTGTATGAAAATTCGGTGTTGTTAAAGTTAGTAAATTATAATTCTAAATATATTTGATCATTTAATTTAAAAACACGTAAATGTTAGGTCCTGTTAAAATTTTATAATGTGTGATTATAAGACTATAAATATCCAAAACTGGAAAATTTACTTATGGGGTTTTTTAAAACTTTAAAAATGAAAATCTTTACAATTTAAATTATCTAGTTGACACTCCACTAATTTCTTGACAATTATTTGCTTTTGAAACACTCTATGTGATCCGTCAAGACGAAACTTTTTAAAAAGTGTCTTAAGTGTCTTAATAGACTACCAACAGGGATAGAAAATATACAGAACCTAAAGGCCTACAAAATAGCAGTCTCTGAATGGCTTTCAAGCTGCGACCTAAACTTACCTTAAAAATTAGATCCCCTGGCCCAAATGATCTGATTCAGGTAAAAATGACTAGGCCTAGGTGGCATCTAACAATACACTGACACAAAATCACACTAACACAGACACTTTTACAAACACTAGATAGTATTCCCTACACCAACACAGACAAAAACCAGGATTTCAATTAGGCTAAGGCTTTGTTAGGAAACAATCATAATACTATGAAGCACATTAACAAACACATATCAAACCCACTATGTTAAGGACACAACATAATTCAATTATTATTATTGTAATTCATAATTGTAATTATTATTATTTTTCTCTGCTTTTTGTGAATTGTGAGAATGCATGCATGCATGGGCGTTTCACAGTGAGTGAGAGGTTATGTTCGTTCGGTCAAACCGAGCGACTAAAGTTTCAGGTTTTTTTTTTCTTCTTTTTTTCAGTCAGCTCAGCTCGGCCGGCGCTGCCAGTGCCAGTCTGCTGTGCAAACAAACAAACAGTTCAAACATGGTCTACGATCCATGAAAAACAAAGAGGACCAAATATGAGCAATCCAAAGAATTCCGTAGATTATAAAGCAATATTTATGTCACTACATTTTAGATTTTTTAGTGTGCTGCCAACTACTTTGTTTTAAGTTAAAGTGCCTGCCACAAACCGCCGTAGAAATATAGTACAATTAAAAAATCTTTGTTCAAAAAAAGAAAAAAAATGTAAATTATTTGTTTGTTAGCCTTATATTGTATCAATTGGACCTCACCGACAAGTTTTATAAACTTGGTGAGGCCAAGCTGTTGTGATTTTCATAATAAATATATTTGTATTTGTATTTGTATTTGTAAGATTACTTCTTTGATGAGAAATTAAGCCAACGTAATAGCATCAATACTGCGAGTATTACTTTTATTTTATTATTATACGTTTTCAGCTTTAGGCAAAGTAATTACTGATATCTTTGTCATAAATATGGACTATCCCTCCAACTAAATAAAGTATATTTCAACGTCATTTATTACCTATTTTACATTAAATTATGGTAAGAACTTTTTACTATATGGAAAAAAATTAAAATAAATATTATTTTTAGCTCCTTATTATATTTTATAATAGTTTCTTGGTTTATATCATCGGTGTTAATTTGTTGACCAAATATCAATAAATGGGTCATGAGTCACATTGATAGCATAACTAAAACTAATTTCATATTACTTTGAATATACTCTAGTCAAACCAGTTTATGAATAAACCTACGGAATATGTATTGTTGGCTATGCATGTTCTTACTAGTTTAGTGAAAAGCCACTTAAGTTTCCATAATGTAAAAAAAAGAAAACGGTAAAATTGATAGAATAATCGGATTTACCAGCTTCTAACAAAACCTACAAAATTAAACGCAGAAAGACATAGCGTGTGAACATTTCACAGCGAACAAATTTGAAAACTAATTTGAAACTCATTCATTAATCGCAATATAAAGTCAATAGTTTGAATATTCAATGAGACTTTCATATGAAATTCGATAGCTTATAACAAAGTAAACTAAAAACTAAAGATACGTCGAACGAGTAAAGTTTATTTTTCCAATTGATTGGAATGTTCTTTGAGTTCGCCTCTGGGTATGATTTAAATAATGACGTGGGTGCTGCTTTATTGAAAATTTCAATGTTTGTAGTAAACCTATAAATCTTCAAACTCATATATTTAGACATTTAAGCCCTATTTACAAGGGTCTCAAAGGGCTTTTCTTGGTAGCTGTTGAATATTAGGAATGCTAAAAAAGTTTTAAAATGAAATTGAATCAGTTTTGACTTATTTTTAAGTAAGTTACATAAGCATACTTAAACAAATATTGTATGGCCCGTAAATAGTAATTTTATAAGAAAGATTATCGCAAAAAGGTATAATCTAAACTCACAGCGTTTAGATTAAAGTCGTAAGTAACGCCTTGAAACACCGGTAGTGACGTAAGCCTTTACAGTGGACAGTTTATGTTGTAATGAAACAGAAAATTATATGACCTATACAAAATGAATGGTAGACTAAATAACTATACATGTTAACAAATTGATTATCCGACGACAGATTGAACATATATCTAAATATTTTTTCTGTAATGGAATTTAAAATCATTTATATAGGCCTACTATGTGCGCCTAAAGTTAACCATGTAAAGTAAATTTAATTGACTTGAGGTTATGTGTTAAAGGATTTTACCGCGTTGTAAATTAAAGTCGTTTGTGTTATATTCAAATTATAAAGGTAGTCGATTTCAATTAGTCATATCGTTATTACGATTATATATAAGTTAAAATAATTTGACTGAGATACTTAATCATTTATTAATTGTTTTAAATATATCGATACCAATTTAATGATCTCCTGCAGTTTTAAACTATAAGAATATAATTCTGAACAACCACGAAGCTGTTAGTGCTCCAACTTGCAATACAAATTCCGGTCGTATCTTTTCCTCAACATCTTTTATTGACAATTATTATCAATATCTTGATTTTAAAATACAATACCTTAAAGTAAATAAATTTAAATCAAATCAATTTCAATAAGAACCTAGAGGTGTATTAAAATATATTTAGTAAACCTTTATCATGGACAGTTTAGAACAATTATTGTTTAAATTTATTCATATTAGGAAACTTAATGGTAAAAATAACTTATATTTTTATGCAGCTACTCCGTAGAACAGTTTTATAATTATCATAAAAAAATATAATGCGTGGTTATTTAACATTTTTATTTCATCTACAACATAAAACGGGAGGGATCAGATTGGTAAATAGTATATTTTTTTGTTTTTTTAACTGTTTTGATTTATTAATAGTTGTACCCTTTACAAATTTATCACTATTTGTGTGCTGTTCAGAGGTTCATCGCGGATATTTACTACCACGATGGTAAAAAACAATACACAAATTTCCGGCATCTGGAATCTGAACCCGTCCTAAGGTGAAAAAAAACTTTAAAAAAACTTTTCCACGGAAGAAAAAACTTTTTAGGTAATGGAAAATGTCCGCAATAAACATTTGAACAACTTTAACTCACCATCACGAACAATAAACTTCAAACAAAGGGTATTTGCTTAGTATGAAAAAATAATGATATTTTGTACTCAGACCACACCAATATTTGTGAGGGGGTTTAGTTGTGAAATTACGTATGCATAATTAAGTTTCTAATATTTCTTTGGACAAATTTGCTTGGTTTTTTTTATAACTAGTTCCTATTTTAAGGTGAATTCAGCTATGCAACGCCTCAACATAACAATATTATACCTTTTGTAAGACTATTATTAAAATAGTAAGGTTTTCCGATCAACGAGCCATTGAATAACAATCCTTTCTTTGTACCGACTTAGAAACAAACCTAATTTAACAAGACATGGTGCAATCTATCAGGAATGGGGTATCCTAAACTTCGATTTTCTGATTTAGTAAACAAAACAAGGTCATATTTATATTGAGCTATAAAATACTGATAGTTTTATCGCATACAAGCCATTAAAGTTAACAACGGCCAAGCCATAAATCAGAGTCAGCTGGTGATCACGTGACTTACTGCTTGTGTTACTGCTTGGTGTTGTTCAAATTTGCCTATAGTTAATTATATTACAATTTATTTTATACAATTTTTTTTTTAATTTTTCATTTGAATCATACAGTATGCACGAATCCACGAAATATCCACGAAATAGCTATATAGTTACTAAATCTGACACATTCCAATGACGAAAAATTAGAGCAATTAAAGAATTAATTATTTAATTATTAAAGAATGTTTAATATTATAATGTATAGTAAAAAGTTTATGTTTTTAAAATGTACAACTCTTCATCATAACCGTGAAAAAGTTCATATTTATAGTCATCTAGTTGCAATAGTGTCGGATTCGAAAATCTCAGATGTAGTTATAATAAAATTGGAACAAAAAAACCCATATTTTATCGAATACACTTAGATTTTTCACATGCTATATACAGTATTATAGAGCATCTTGCTTTTAAAAATATACAATTCAAATTAACTAGTACCAAAAAAGCTTAATTTTTTCTTTAACAATCATCTGTATTTTAATTTCGCCTTTACTCTAGTTCTCCCAGATTGCAAATGTTATATGGACTTAAGTTTTTGCCTACTTTATTATTTTACACTTATAACAGTAAATACTGTACTACGTCATATCAACGTAAAATTAAGTGTCTTACTCCTTTACAATGTAAAACCTAGTTCTGGTGGAGATTACGGTAAAAAGCTTTATAGATGTTTGAAAGGATAAGCGTAATGCATTATATATAAGGGTTGAAGCGCCCTGGTCAGCAATACAGCAATTCCCCATCCCTCTTACGGTGAACGTATTTGATGTTTTATGATAAATTATCCTTCTCATAAACTTGAAGTATTAAAAAATATAATTCACATTTGTTTAAAATTTAAGAAACACATGGGTTAAAATATAAAAAAAAAACATTAGCCGATCATTGGAAAACGTAAAATACCCCCGCCGCAGCAAACCTGCAGACTAAGCGAATTTCAACTTGTCTGATTAAGTTACTAAAATATTTCCATAAATAAGACATATATATTTCTAATTTAAATTATATTAGATTTAACGAGTGCTTAGGTTTGCTGCTACGAGGAAGGTAAAAAGTGTTTTTTGACCATATGTCAATAGTATAGGATGAAATGAATAAATTTGCCAAATTTTATCAACATTATATCCATAAACAAGTAAATTACAACAGTTTTCATTTTCTCCATAAGAATAACATAGGAATTTTAAATTACACTTTTTTTAATTTTCTCATACAACAGCGCTTCAATATACTAAATTATTTATTTTTTAAGCCCTACAAAATGGTTGAGAATGAAATTACAATTTTTTTTGTTTTTAGGGGGAAAAAAATGGGAAAACCCCATTTTTACCCCATAAACTCCCCATAAACCCCTGTTCCCATGGTCCGATTATGCTGGTTCGCGAACCCGTTCGAATAAACGTAGGTTTACACGTTTGTACCAAATTTCATCAAAATCGGATCATTTTTGCTCGAGTTATCGTGCTAACGGACACATATAAATAAATATATCTAACAAAAACCACTAAGTGGTAACACTTTCCCCGCCAAGTCAGCAATCCAAAAAAGATAATAAATCATTACTTTTTCCGCCAAGAAAAACAATGTAATGTATGTAAGTTTGGCAACTTGGCGGCAGACTTTTGCTCGATCACTTTAAAAATACCATAAAACTAGTTTCATTGAGCAAGTATCTCTCCCATTAGTACATTGCTAGGTGAGAGCTTATTTTACAAAACTTGACCTTATTTGTGCCACATTTCATAAAATCATAATAGTGATGGTTTTATATTTACTGATTACCTCGAAATTATTATACTTAGTTGGACTAATTAATTAGAGAAGTTGATTTGTGAAATTATCCACGAACGTAACTTAAATGAAAAAAAAAACCAAGCAAAAGTCTGCCGCCAAGTTGCCAAACTTACATACATTACATTGTTTTTCTTGGCGGAAAAAGTAATGATTTATTATCTTTTTTGGATTGCTGACTTGGCGGGGAAAGTGTTACCACTTAGTGGTTTTTTGTTAGATTTTATTTATTTTTGTAGAAAATTAACCGTTCAAATAAAAATACTCTTTTCTCTGAAAAAAAAAATAAATTTTAATGCTAAAGTTGACTGAACTCTCGATCTTCCGGTAGTCTTTGCAGAGGGTACCGGTTTTGTACTCTCATCCTGCACTTTTTCGACATTTTTGGTCTGGCACCACTTCCTGTCTCTCACATAAGGAGCCGAAGAGGAGTCACAACTTGTGTTGTAAAGTGGAAGGTCAGACCTGTACTTCTGCCTTAGTCTGTTGTATTCGAGAATGGCGGATTTCTGAGGCTTCACATCTCTTGGGTTAAAGTTAATAAGATGAAGCCCTTCTAATGAAGTCACTCGTGACAAGGCAACATATGATTGGCCACATGTAAATATGGACTCCCCAATATCAATTATTACGCTATTTAAGCTGAGGCCCTGGCATTTGTGAATTGTAACCGCGTAGGACATCGATATCGGGAATTGCTCTCGATACACAAATGCGTTATCCATCACTTGAAACTTGACGTTTACTCGCTGTAGGTGATGGGTAATGCCACAATCAAAGTTAATTGTCACTGAGTCTACGTCATCAGAATTGTCTGTATTAAACCTCAACCCCGTTACTGTTCCAATGGCGGAGTTAACTAGCCCCACAGTGACGTCAATGTTTCTAAGCAACATAACTTTAGCACCAACCTTAATAGGAATAATTTTCTCCATACCAGCCGTTCTGCTGCAGTCAGAGTTGTAAGAGGACAGTATCTTTTTAACTTTGTTTTGTTGACGAGGTAGACAGTCAACTGAGTCTTTTGCAACCAAGTTAACGACAGGACCACTTATTCTATTGACCATTTCATCATTTATTATGGAGCATTGGTAACCAGTTGAACAAAGACACACAGAATTGTTGGGAAAAGCAGACAAGTAATCTCCTAATAGAGAAAGGTTTTCACAAGCAGTTTTTCCATTAAGATGTATTTTCTTGCTTTCAATTAGACGGATGTCCTCAACGGTCATATTGCCTACTCTGACTTTGCTTAACACATCAGCAAACTTAGAATCTTGAGCTTGTCGCATGTTTGTAGTAAGTTCATCATAAGAGAACTGTTCAGACCAGATGTTAACACAAGACAGAGAGCCAACAAAAGAACTAAGTTTGCTACTGTCAAGTTCAATGAATGGGGAGTCTTCGTGTACTGGTGGAAGTTGTAAAAGGTCTCCAAAGAGCAGTATATGTTTTTTACCAAACCAGCCGTTACTTTGGTCTGAGGTGTTGAATATTTCACACAATCTGAGATTTATGTACATCAATGTTAGATTGGAGACCATGGACACTTCGTCTATTATGAAGAGCACCACATCTTTCAGGTTGGATCTCAACATTTTTAAAACATCATCAGTAAGAGCTTTGTACTTTGGAGTTTTTCCATGCTCAACTGGCAGCTGAAACACTTTGTAGATCGTAGAACCATTGATGTTGTAAGCACTTAGTCCTGTGGGAGCTGATATTGATGTAGAGGCTTGAAGACATTTTTTAGTCCAAGAGCTATTAAAATGCAATTAAAACATAGCCATGGTATCTTACCAAATGGTCCTAAGAAATGTTCTCAATGTTCTTAAACTAGATCTCTTCACTACACATAAACAATGCTGCTCTTTTTGTAAACATGAAAAAGACAACAAACACGTTTTATTTACAGCTGTTAAAATTATTAATACAATGTTAAAAGACTTAGTTAAATAATTTAGCTAGTATCCTAGTATATAATTATATAGAAACATATGTATAAAATGTGATTGCATCTGGTGGCCTACTTAGCACCAATTTATAGTTGACTTAAAATTCGGGCAGATGAATATATTTTATTCTTTGTACTTTATATTTCATTGCTAAGATTTAATTATGATTTAAATGCTTATTGTTGTGAGTTCAATTGTAAATAAAGGTGTTGAAAGTAATAGCCCTCTGTTTTAACGTTTTTAAAGCTTTTACCAACTTAAATAGAATTCAACCTAATATTGAAGTGAATTCCAACATTACTGGCAATGCGTTGGTGTTACATAAGTGTTCTGATAATTAAACCCGTATATCTAAAGACTAGTGTAAATTGAGCCCTTGGGTGACTTTCTACAGCCAGTTTCAACGTCTAGAACTGTGTGCAAAACCTCCCATTTCCCCATTTTTATTTGTCATGAATAAGTAGACATTTTAATACTAACTATGACGATTGCATTCATAAAATCTCAAAACATATTGTAGGCTACGGCAATATTGTCCTAAAAGCTGTTTACTGACTTTCTAAAGCCATATTAATGTATATAATTGTGTCCAACTAACTAACTTTCAATTGCGTAATATTGTTTTATTTGCTGTGCTATTGTCCACAAAGTTGATCTATGTGGAACTTAATACTACTCCTGCTATCGCTTATTAAGTTTAATAAAATCTACATTGATGTGTGTTTAAGACATTGCGTGTTTTAAGGACGAAATGTACGTTTAAATTTATTTTTCCAGGGTCCAAGGAGGGGGGGCTTTAGCCCCTGTAGCCCCCCCCCCTTGGAACCGTCACGGGGGGGAATATCTCTTCTCTAAGTAATTTTATATAGTAAGTAGTTCAAATCATTCGGTATACCTGAAAAAAATACTTTATAAAAGTTTTAAAATAATCATCACCTGTTCCTATAAATTTCTCTAACATTTAAATTTATTGATATTTAATCGCAGCTGGTCCTTCTTTTTATTTTGATTTGTTTTGATTTTAATCCCATGTTATTTAAATGGGCCGAAATCGTACTTTGAGGGCTTGCCAAGGGTTTATGGGTCAACGTACCGACTTGAGACCCTCAAAAGGCACATCTACACGCTAAGGGCTTTCACACAACATAAAGAACATTAAAATTGAGCCAGTGGTTTGGGCTGTAGGTCCGTCAACATTTAAGGAGAAGAAGGAGAACACGGAAAATTTGTGAATTTTCAAACTAGTTTTTCTTTGCTCAAACACAACCGTTTTTTAAATTCTTTTTTTTATTTTGTTGAGAATGATTGCCCCTATCCAGTAGATGAACAATTATTTTAATAGCTTTTGTTTCTTCAGAGCTATAGACGAGTAAAAAAGCCACTTTGTCACGTCATGTATATATACACTGCAGCAGCTGTGTACCGCTGGGGGACTTGGCGGGGCGGAACGCTGCCGCGTTCCTTAATATATATATGAATTTGAACGGATGGTGTTTTTGGCCTCTGGGGACCTCAAAACGAAAAAGTAAATCGGTCCCGGGTCTAGGTCTTACCATGAGACCTACGGTAATAGCTCATTCCCTATATGGGAAATTCGCTAAAACAAGTTTGCTATATTGACAAGAGCAGTTGAAATGTAACATTAAGGTGTAAGACATGTGTTATTTGTTTTTACTTACAGTTTATTGCGTGTTTTGCAAATGTAACAATCAACGTTTTTAGTGTAGTTTCAAGATGTATGCGTTAAGTTATGTTGAATCATTGACTATATATACCTACATATAGTCAATGGTTGAATGTATACTCAGCGAGACTGGTCGTTTTAGTCGGACTGATGTCAGCGTGCTGACTTCAACATAATTCCTGTATAGTTTAAACTTCCTCTCGTAGGTTCTGCTTGCTGTGCGCGGTAAAATGTAGCTTGTTTGTCTACTTACTTATATAATTTACATATACTTATGCAATGTAAATTATTAGTGTTAAACCCTAAATTTGTACTATAATTAATTATTTTTCTTCTGTAATCCATTTAGAAAGCATAAAGAGTTTAACCCTTGCAAAAAAAAAGAAGAACGTATGTCTTTCCTTAACAGTTAAAAAGATATTTTCTTTAATCCTCTATTTTGTTTGGACAGTAAATATTTCTTATAAACTAACATGGTCTTTGAAAATATATAGCTTATTACTTGCGGTTGTTTATTGTACAAATATTTAAAACAAATACAACCGAAAAGTTTAATATATTCTTTAATGTACAAAGCTCATGTTTATTCTTCATACAAAATGTCTACATTTTTTCTTACAAACTTATTACAATTACTTCACATTTGCGTCCATGCAAACATTACTTTTAGAATATACAAATATCATCATGCCTGAGCATTTATACAAACATCATTTTAGGAACCCACAAATGCCATTATGTCTGGGTAGATAATTTGTAAAACCAATGATCACATGATTAATAGCTTTATAAACGCTCCTTCTGCCCCGTCTAAACGAATTAGTTTTAAAAGCCGCCTCTCAAGTAAGATTGACGATGGCATTAATTAGGCTTAGTGAGTCTCTGCCCTACAATATGGCACGAATATTGATAGCGTACTGGTAATTAGCATCCGTTATTTGCAACCCACAAACGGATTATTATTTTAGGAATTCGTGTTTTAACTATTGTTATAAGGTAAAATAATTTGGTGAGAATTCGATTAAATTATATTATTCTTATGAATCGTCATATCTTTACCAAAATTAAGGATATTTGATGTTATTTTTATTAAAGTTTATTTATTTAAGACATATCCATCGATATTTAAGAGTATTTAACTAAATTTCAAAATTAGGAAACTCAAAAAAGATAAGGGTTGGATTATAATTACATATGTTTTGTTGTCGGATTTTTATAGTACCCTACTAAGCATTTATAATTGTTCAATAATTGATTAGAGCTATTTAATCACTAGGAGTACAATGCAGTTGTCTGCTTGCAATATTGAGCGGAGCAAGCACATTAATCAATAATTTTGAAAAATGTAACGACAAATTTATTGTTTACGTCATAATTAGTTTTAATTTAATATATTAAGTTTTAATAATTTTTAGTTACTAAAAAATTGACTAAACAGTACAAAAAAGCATTTATTTACATAATACAAGTTAAGAAAACATTCACACAGTTAAAAATACATGAACTCAAATCAAATCAAATCAATTTATAGGAATTTTGCAGAGTAATAAGTAATAATGAAATAATAAGAATAATAATAGTGTTCATTGCTGTATAAGTGAACGCAGACGTGCCAGTTCTCTACGTTTAGTTTCCCAACCCGCATTATTGTTGATACACTTGAGAAGGCGGTCTTGAGAAAAGCCTGGTTCAATTATAAGTCCTTCGATGGATCGAACCCGTGACATTGCAACATACGTAAGACCCAGGGCAAACTCTGTCGTACCAATGTCAACTACTGCTTTGTCAACTGTCATTCCCTGAGCCTTATGGACAGTAATACCATAGGCAACTTGCAAGGGAAACTGTCTTCTTGTACAGGACACGTTGTTTTTTCGGTATCCAACAGTGAGTGGTAATATCGGAAGAGAGCCATTAAAAGTTGGACCTTCGTATCCATCAAAATGGACCAAAATACAAATTGGAAAGTCGTCCATCGATCTATTCGGTCCATAGACAATATCAACAACATTCCCCAGACTGCCGTTGCACAAGCCTTGGGAGGTCCAGATGTTTTGGCGTAGTATTACGCGACAACCTTGAGATAGCTGCAGAGTTGCTTGTAGTCCTTGGGCTTCATCCTCTGATGCACCACATGCTGTTAAGTTGTTATGTTTTGCTTTTATTAAAGCAACAGGCTTGTTTGAAGACCGTAACATGAGTTGATTGTATTGATGTACGGCGTCTTTCCTTGCTTTTATTCGAATTGCGCTTGTGAAACTTTTTACTGTAGCAACGTTGTTTGATGAAAATCGTGTTTTAAGCAATTCATAGTCAGATAGAGTTAATTGGCCTAGAGCCATACGCTTTAAAGTTTCTCTGAAACAGTTCTGATCATCTCCAATTTGACGCATCACCTGCTTCAACTCAAATACTGTTTTGAACTGCTCAAAAAGAAATCTTCCTTCAATTGAAGAAACTTTTCTTGGGTCTGCTGGAGCTAGTAATGTGCGATCCAGAACTGGTGGCAACTGGTTGAAATCACCAAAAAAGTAGACAATACAACCACCAAAAGGTAATTCTTGACGATTAGTGAATGCTTGACGCAGACGTTTGTCTATCATGGAGAGCATTCGAGTGCCAACCATTGACATCTCATCGCAAATAATTACTTTGACAGTACGGAAATCTTCCTGTAATTGGCGCTCCGCCTTACCTGTAAGATCGGAAACAGTACCACCTCGTGTTTGGACTATATGTAGTGCGTTGTGTATTGTTTGTCCGTTTATATTATTGGCAGCCACACCTGTTGGCGCCATCAAAATAACACTTGAGCTACCATGCAGGGATTCAATCATATGTACCATTTTATTTATAATAAATGACTTTCCGGTTCCAGCCCCCCCTTGCACGAGTGTAAGCTTTTCACTTGATTCATTCGCTAGTTGCTGTGCTAGGTGGTCCAGTATTTTCTGTTGAC